GGCGCCGGCACCGCCGCCCTGCGATCCGGCCGCGGCGGCTCACAGCGCGGCTGCGGCGGGCGCGGGCGGCGGCGGCTCCCTCCCGTGCGTCCGTCGTGGGACCTTCGCTCGCTCGGCGGCTGGGGACAGCACGCTCTCCGGCCCGCGGCGGGGGCGGGGACGCCCGGCCAGTGGCCCCGCGCCCCCAAGGTGAGTCCCCGGCCCCCGCGCCGCGCCCGCAGCCGCCGCCTCCTCCTCCCTCGGGACACGCGCACGCAGGTGCAGCCCTAGCCGCGCTGGCCACCTGCGCGCGGACGGCCCGCTCGCCCTTGCGACCCTCCGCCCCCGAGGTCAGGCCGTGCAGGCCGGGAGGGGACGGGAAGGAGGTGGCCGGCGGCTCCGGGCGCGGCGCTGCCCTCGATGGCCCAACCCCCTTATTCACGAGCCGCGGCCGTGTCTCTGCCCGCTGACGTGGGGAGGCCGAACTTTACGTAACCCGCCCGGCGCCCCACGCCTGCCCGCACAGGGCATACCTGGCGCGGAGGCCCAGGCTTGGGGAAGGGACTCCAGTCACGGTGTTGCCCACGGGCCACAGCCCACCCCTACCGTGCCGCTCTCTTTAACTCAGTTACTCCAGCGATAGTGACCCAGTGTGTGTGGATGCGGCCTGCCCTCTGTCCCAGGCTCCTGTGACCAAGGGCTTACCCTTGAAAAAAGGCAGTAGGGAGCCTCGGCCAGAGCCAGAGGTCAGACGCCTAGGCTCAGGTCGGCGCTGGGAGCCCAGAGGACAGGGGCAGGGCACAAGCTCGATTCCCTGTGGGTTGGGAGTCCCCACCAATTCTGGAATGAGCCCAAACTGAGACGCAGGAGACCTGAGTTCTAGGCCTGGCTTTGCCGTGGCTTGCTGACCTTGGAGAAGCTTGTGCCCTGCTGGAAAGTGGGATGGCAGTACCCACTTCATCTAGTAGTTGGGGAGACCAAGAGAAGTATGAGACCTGGAGAGGAAGGCTGATCGTGCGGTGCACACCGGTCTTAAGGTTGTTTTCACCCTTCTGCCTCCTCCCAGGAGCTAGGGGTGCTAACGTGTAAGCAAACATGTTTGGATAGGGCTGGCGCCACGCCCCAGGCTCACCCTGTCCCGCACAGCCGTCATCCACCCTTCCCCTTTCTTACAGATGAAGCTGAGGATCTGCCAAAGACAGTGATATACCCACATCCCCGGAACTAGGCGATTGCGGTGCAGGAACCAGGTAGGTCTGAGTCTAGATCATGCTTGCCTCTGACCAGCCCAGGAAGAGGCTCCAGGGGCTTCCAAGTGGTCTGGGGTCGGAGGTCAGGGTCAGGGTTGCGCTTGGGTGGAGAGTGGATTTGGCTCAGCTTGTGATGTGGGCCCAAGCTTTCCCATCCCCTCCCTGGCCTTTTCTTTATTTCGGGTTGTGTGAACCTGGCTTAGGTGAGACGGAAGCTCTTCCAGTGGGTCCCTGGGTTGGAGAGGGCTGGGGAGATCTGAGGGCATAGGCAGCAAGGGCATCTCCAACAGAGGTACCAGAGAGCAAGTCTGTTTCAAGGAGGGAGAACTGGTACAGCTAGATCAAGGATGGAGGCGGTGGTGGGCGTGGGAGAGATGAAGCTGTGTGGGATGAATGGAAAGGTCTGGCCAAAGATGGAGGTAGGTACGAGGGCCTGGTGGGCTGGGACCGGAGGGGCTGTGTGAGGGGCGGGTGGGGGGAGTCCCCGGGCCTCCCCAGTTTTCCCGCGCCTCACTGTGGCCCCTTCTCCTTACCCGCAGGTGTGCCTTTGCGGGACCCATGCCTTGAGGCCAGGAGCACCCCGCTGCCAGCATGCCGTGGGATGCGCGGCGGCCCGGGGGCGGCGCGGACGGCGGGCCCGAGGGCTCGGGCGCAGCGCGCTCACGGGCGCAGAAGCAGTGCCGCAAGTCGTCGTTCGCCTTCTACCAGGCGGTGCGCGACCTGCTGCCAGTGTGGTTGCTGGAGGACATGCGCGCCAGCGAGGCCTTCCACTGGGACGAGCGCGGGCGCGCCGCCGCCTACTCACCCTCCGAGGCGCTGCTCTACGCGCTCGTGCACGACCACCAGGCGTACGCGCATTACCTGCTGGCCACGTTCCCACGGCGCGCGCTCGCACCGCCCAGCGCGGGCTTCCGCTGCTGCGCGGCTCCCGGGCCGCACGTGGCGCTGGCCGTGCGCTACAACCGCGTGGGCATCCTGCGCCGCATCCTGCGCACCTTGCGCGACTTTCCTGCCGAGGAGCGTGCGCGCTTGCTGGACCGGCGCGGCTGCAGCCGTGTGGAGGGTGGTGGCACGTCGCTGCACGTGGCCTGCGAGCTGGCGCGCCCCGAGTGTCTCTTCCTGCTGCTAGGCCACGGCGCCTCGCCGGGCCTGCGCGATGGCGGCGGCCTCACGCCTCTCGAGCTGCTGCTGCGCCAGCTGGGCCGCGACGCTGGGGCCACTCCCGCCGCTGCTGCTGAAGCCCCGGCCTCTGCACCCGGGGAGCCACGCCAGCGCCGCCTGCTGCTGCTGGACCTGCTGGCGCTGTACACCCCCGTGGGTGCCTCCGGCTCGGCCCGCCGGGAGCTGCTGGGCGACCGGCCGCGCTGGCAACGGCTGCTGGGTGAGGACAAGTTCCAGTGGCTGGCCGGCCTGGCACCGCCCTCACTCTTCGCGCGCTCCATGCAGGTGCTGGTCACCACCATCTCTCCCGGCCGCTTCCCTGAGGCCCTGGACGAGCTGCCGCTGCCTCCATTCCTGCAGCCATTGGACCTCACTGGCAAGGGCTAGATCCGGAGCACCCTGGGCGCTGGATTTGGGGACAAAATTGTTTTTCAGAGTGTTGTACCTGGCACTTTACATATATTGATCTCTGTACAGCACAATCTCTGCCTCGTCTGTCGCATGTATTGGGGGATGGGCTTGGATGTCCAGGTGGGTTTCAAGTGGCAGAATTTCTGGGTGCAGGTGGGCTCAGGCCTTCAGGTCGCTGTCTAGCCCCAGAAAGGAGTGAGGACCAGCCTCCCACATTGATCCAGAGCCTCGGACAGGTGTCCCAGAGGGACTGACAGCTGAGTGCAGCAGGAGCTGGGTAGGTGCAGGGGTGGGGACTGGTGTATCCAAGCAGCAAGACCTCGTGTAAAAAGGCCTGGAAGCCAAGAGAGGGGGCTCTGCAGCGTGGGGTTCTGACGGGAGGTCCTGTGCGGTCAGACTTCAGCAGCCTGTGGACTCCGGACCAGGGAGGGCACATAGGGCTGGCAGGCCCACGGTGACTGGTGTTGGACATAACCAAGTTGTACGTGGTCCACCCTACCCCCACTGACCACCAGTTCTTTTTGGACATCACTCCCCCCTGACAGCCCGCCCAGGCCTGGATTTGTCCCTGTTGTCCCTTTTCTCTTTCCCCAAGACTAATGGGCACCAGTCCTGCGGCTCCCGCTTCTCTCACCTCTGCAGTGGTAGCAGGCCCCTGGCCCCAGCTGCATGCCAGGCAGTGGGGTTAGATGTGACTTCCTCCAGGGCTGCCCTCTGTCCGAGCCTGGAGTGGCCTGGGTGAGCTCCCCAGCTGGCCCCCAGTGGGTGTTAGGTGGTGCCCCGCGTTACTGAGGGGCAGCTGCATCACTGCAGGGACAGGCTTCTTGCCCCAGCTTGGAGAGCTCTTTTTTTCAGGAAGATCCTGGAGATGGAGACTTGTTCATGAATGCACCATGACTCCATGCTGAGAGGCTGGGTCCACACCCTCGGAGCCGAGAGACCAGGGAGGATGACCAGGCTGCCCTGCCCGAAAATTCTGCTGGGCCATGAAATTCAACCGGCACTAACGTGCATAGGAGACCCAGTGTCCTGCCAGGAGCAGAGGCTGAAGGTCCGCTGGAGGAAGAGCCACCAGCCTGGCAGGGGCATCTGCTGCCCATCCTGCCCTCAGTGTGCCTGGGGGGAGCATGCCTGGGTGTGGAAGAGTCCAGGGTGCTGGGCTGAACAAGACAGGGTGGAGGGGGCTGGACAGTAGGAAGAGCTTGCCTGGGGTCGTGGATCCGCCACTCTGGGGATGACCTTGGACAAACCTGTGCCTTGGCCCTCAGTCTCCACATCAAGGTTTTTCATCAGCTAACACGTTTATTGTCTTTTTTTTTCCCCCCATTTATTTATTTTATTGCATTTTAGGTTTTGGGGTACGCCATCAAGATTTTTCTATTCAGGAGGTGTTGGGCTGGCTTCGGCCACCCTGCCAGCACTGAAGAGGATGTGACTTCTGTTTCTGGGAAGCATGGGGTGTGTTAGGTGGGCGCACAGCCCTGGTTGTGGGGAGGGAAGGATGGGGAGGGAGCACAGCCCCCTGAAGGAGCCCAGACTCCAGGCTGGAGTGAGGGCTCTACGTCCGCCCTGCTGTGTGTCCTGGACCAGTGCCTCTGAACCTTAGCACTTGGGGCAGTGGATATTAACATCTTTCCAAGCCCAAGACAGGGCATCAGGGTGTCCGGTCCTCTGGGAGGTTGCAGTCCTCAGATCAGTGATGCCATGGGAGGGGCAGGTACCTCTCCTTTGGTGGGTACGGAAGTGAACACAGGAGTGGCCTGGCACAGCTGCAGTGGTTCTTAGGGGCTGGGCCTGGGGAGCCCATGATGCCCCAGCAGCTTCTGCCTAGAAAGCCTGGGCTCCTTGCTGGGGGTCTCAATGTGCAGAATCCCCCATGCCTCCCCAGCTCCAGCTCCGTTCTCTGTAGGTCAGCCCCCACAACGCCAGAGGCCCAGGGCTAGCCCCCGCCACATGCCTCGTAGACCTACAGCTTCCCCTTTGGTGACAGCACCATTGAGTCCCTTGGGTGTGGGGGTCATGCATGGGTGAGGCAGCGCCTTGCCAGGCAGGACACAGGCTTGCTGGCCCTGAGTATGGGCCCCAAGATAGCCATCGTCAGGTGACCAGGGTGAGTCACCTAGGGTGGCCTTAGAATGCAGGGTGGAGCCTGCCGGAAGAATTGTGGGCACCGCAGCAGGAGGGCAGCCTGGGCCAGTAGCTCCTGATGTCATTGAGTTGGGTGGGGGGACAGGGAGGTCAGAGGAAGCCGGCCAGCCGCTCTCACGCAGCCTTATGGCAGCAGAGCAGTGCCTGATTCCTGGTACAGCTACTCCCACTGAGTCTCCAGGAATCTGTGGCTCAGAAACCTCCCCCGCCCTGGCACTGGTGGGAGGAGATGACCTAGCGTAAAGGTGCTGGACAGATAAGCAGCTGAGGGCGGCCCCAGGGTTGACTTATCAGTCTCTTGGGCCTTCCTGCCCCAGGAAGGGCAGTGAAGACCATGGTGTCACCCCCGTCATCGTTATCATCCTGGCTATGAGCTTGCAGGACTGGGAGGGCTGGAGCCAGACAGACAGATGGCAGCTCAGCTTTTGCCTGCTGGCAGGTGGCCTTGGTGGCTTCCCAAAGGCAATCGCTCCACGCAGAACAAAACTCATTTTTCTCGGCCAGGCGCGGTGGCTCACGCCTGTAATCCAAGCACTTTGGAGGCCAAGGCAGGTGGATCACCTGAGGTCGGGAGTTCAAGACCAGCCTGACCAACGGGGCGAAACCCCGTCTTTATTAAAAAATAATTATAATTAAAAAAAAAACCTCATAACTCATTTTTCTCTGGGGCAAAGCACATTGGTTCCTTTGTTTAGTTCATTAATTCCCCCAGTCTGTTTGTAAGGAAAAACCTGGCTGCAGCCAGGCCTTCCCCTCCACCCACCTGGCAGGTGCCCAGTGTTCCCACGGGCCCTGAATCCCAACCCTATTCGTTAAGGGGCTAGCATCTCTGCATCCCAAATACCTGTTAGGGAGGACAGTGAAGGCTGAGCACTCCTGGGGTCATCAAAAGCCAGCAGTGAGAGACCACCCCCACCTGCCTGAGGTGACCTCGTAGGGCAGTCCGAGCTGTCTGGGTGGCCTGGGAAAGGTGGGCGGGACCAAGGCCTTCTGGTGCCAGGACCACAGTGGGCTTGCTCTGTGTGCTGACCTCAATCCTGATAGTACCTTGATTTTCCTACTGTGACGTCCCCTTCTGTCCGACTTCTTCACGAACTTGAAACCCCGTCTCTACTAAAAATACAAAAAATTAGCTGGGCATGGTGGTGCGTGCCTGTAATCCCAGCTACTCAGGAGGCTGAGGCAGGAGAATTGCCTGAACCCAGGAGGCGGAGGTTGCGGTGAGCCGAGATCACGCCATTGCACTCCAGCCTGGGTAACAAGAGCGAAACTCCGTCTCAAAAAAAAAAAAAAAAAAAAAAAAAAAAAAAAAAAAAAAAAATTCTGTATTGAGGTGGGGCAAGGTGGCTCATGCCTGTAATCCCAGCACTTTGGGAGGCAGATGGGGCAGATCACTTGAGGTCAGGAGTTCGAGACCATCCTGGCCAACATAGTGAAATGCTGTCTCTACTAAAAATACAAAAATTAGCCAGGCGCAGTGGTGGGCGCCTGTAATCCCAGCTACTTGGGCGGCTGAGGCAGGAGAATCGCTTGAACTGAACCTGGGAGGCAGAGGTTGCAGTGAGCTGAGATCGTGCCACTGCACTCCAGCCTGGGTGACAGAGCAAGACTCCATCTCAAAAAAAAAAAAAAAAAAATTCCGTATTGAGAGCAGTTTCCTAAGTTATCTCAAATCCTGTTCAGAACAAGGATCTTCCTGGAAGTTGGGAGAGGAGAGAAAACAAGCTTAGTCACAGAAGACTACTCCACGTTTGAGCGTGTTTCACGGGAAGTAACTGTCGGAGGAAGCCTGTCCCTCTGCAGTGTGTGGTTTTGCCCTGATACTTTTCAGAATGAGGTGTAACTTACACATAAGAAAACGCGCAGACCTAAGTGTATACTTTGATGAGTCCTGATGAAGGTCCGCACGTGTATAAACACCACCACAGTCAGGATGAGGGAAAGACAGATTTCTATTGGTGATTCTTAAACATAATTTCTTTCTGCTTATAAAATTTATGTTTACTGTAGAACACTGGGATTGAGTAGAGAAGTCCGGGCCATGGTGTGGGAGGGCCCTGCCAGGGAAACAGTCTCAAGTGCTCCATCCCCATGTGGTTCCCGGAGGCGGGGCCCTTAAGTGCTCACCGTACAAGTAAAGGTACAAGTAAAGGTGTCGACTGACTGCACCATCTACACTAAGCACTGCTAGCATACTGGGTATGTTTCTTCCAGGTTTTTTCTATGCACATGCATATTACATTTTTTTCTGTGCACATTTTTATATACATGAAATCATATCACTTACACAATTTAGTTGTTTTTTTTGAGCCGGAGTCTTGCTCTGTCACCCAGGCTGGAGTGCAGTGGTGCCATCTCATCTCACTACAACCTCCTCCTCTTGGGTTCAAGTGATTCTCCTGCCTCAGCCTCCCGAATAGCTGGGATTACAGGCGTGTGTCACCATGCCCGACTATTTTTTTTTTTTTTTTTGTAGAGATAGGGTTTCACCATGTTGGCCAGGCTGGTCTTGAACTTCTGACCTCGTGATCCACCCACCTTGGCTTCCCAAAGTGTTGGGAGTACAGGTGTGAGCCACCACACCACAATTTAGTAATTTTTAATCTTACTGTAGTGTAAGCATTTCCCGCTATTGTAAGGTACTTTGTAAATACGATTTTTAAGAAGTCACTGGTGTCTATTTTGTGATATTTTACTTAACCAGCCTTGATAACAAAGAGTAGTTAGGGACAACTGAATTTTTAAAATGTAAATCTGATTTATTTTTGGAATAAATAATACATTTACATGGCTGAAAGTTCAAAGGATACAAAAAGGCATATACTCCAGGCAACCACTGTGACCAGCTGCTCATCACAAATACAGAACTTGTTTCTTTTTGCCCCTCCTGCCCCTCCCTGGACTTATGAAAAATTTCAAACCT